CAGCATTCACTAATGCATTATTCAAATGACAAGTTGTTTGTTAACATTAATGCACTGTGAACTAACATGAACTAACAATGAATGAACAACTGTATTTTTATTAAATAATGTTAACAAAGACAAAAATAAATAGTGTAATAAATATATTGTTAATTGTTTGTTCATGTTAGTTAATACATTAACTAATGTTAACAAACGACACCTTATTGTAAAGTGTTACCGACTCTTTTTATGTGGTTAGAAATAGGGCTGAAAGATTAATCGTATTTTCATTGTCATTGCAGTATGAACATGTTATTTAGCAACGGGCACCGAAACGTGCTATGAAATAGCAGAGTTGGTGGATTTAGGCGCCAGAGTGCAGAATTCAGCACTCAACAAAACTCTGGCATTTCAGCGATGACTCATCTGAATGCCGTTGATTGGCCATTGCATTAATAAACTCAATGGAATCGTATGTTATTGGTTGTAATGCTCACCGTTGTAAAAACAAAAAAACAAAAAAAAAATTATTTAGTTTTATTTGTTGGCCCTAATATGCAGTTAATTATTCATTTATTTATCACAAGTAATCATCATTGCAAAAAAAAACAAACAAAAAAAACTCCACTGTTATCACACATAGCAGAATTTTCTCATATCATGCAGGACTATTAGAAAGGCAAAATCAATGCAAATCAGTGGATATGTCTGCTATAATAGGATAGGTGTGTTAAGGCCAGTTGGAGCTAAACTCTGCAGGGCATTGGCCCTCCAGGATCTAGTTTGGAGACCCCTGTCCTACAGAGTTGTTACTTTGCACATGCTTTTTGATCATTACAAATAATAATGTAAAATGATTTTCTTAGAATAGGAGATATGCTGTCTCTCGCATCACATACATTATCAATAGTTAAGTATGTGGTCTTGAAGAGGATCCTTTTTTTTCTCTCATTTGGACTCGGTCTTGACTTGGACTCGAAACTTTTGGACTTGGACTTGACTTGGACTCGAACCTCTTTGGACTCGGTCTTGACTCGGTCTCGACTAGTTCTGGTCTTGGACTTGACAAAGCTGGACTTGACTACAGCTCTACTACACATGCAAACACTTTCTTCAGAGAACAAACCTGAGCAAGCTTGTGTCTCAGGTGCCTTTGGGCCCTCAAAACTAAAGACGAAAACCAGGATAAAAACGTTGACAGAGGCTCATTTGATGTTCTGCTGGAGGGAAAGATCTCAAATACTTAATCTCAGTCTGATTTGCATAAGCAACTGAATACTAAAGGAATTTTTCTGCAGCCCACCAAGTCGGTTATATCAACCGCAGATATTTCTCTGAAACACAAAAAATAAAACAACCACTTCACTCATTTGCAGGAAACTCAATGAGCAAAAACTAAATGAGAAAGTCTCTTCAAACCACTCGAATGTTTATGCTCATACTCTGCAATCCCCTCCAAAACTCCAGGGCTTTCACCGGTAATCTGCATGACAGCAATTTAAAAAACTCTAGGGGCATTTGACAAGACCTTAAAACACAGTCAACAAACAGCCAGGTGAGTTAATACCATCAGACCCTGCAGGCTTTAAACCCTGATTACATCACATCCAATGAGAGATGTGCATGTACACTGACGTCACAACATGCACAAGACGACCACCTATCAGAACACATCAACACGAATGAAGATCATAAATGCTGTATGTGTCAAATTAAAAATAGTTCTACTAGTGCATGTGAGCTTTATTTGGAAGGGCAGAATGACTCATGGGTACAATTTCCCATCTGACTCTTGAATATGCATTTCATCCTTTAGAAACACAGCCTGGCTGTGATGACTAACAGGCATTCACAAAGAACACATTTTGGTGATAGAAACAGCTGGATAGAGCGCAATGGAATTGTACAGAACAAGCGTTTATAAGTCAGTAAGCACCCATATTCAAGGGGTTAAGGTTTGGCTGGCTATTAAAAAATTAATAAATAAAAATAAATAAAATTAAAATTAAAATAAAATAAAGTCTTTGCAGTAAAAGAAAAAATAATATAAAATAAAATTTAATTTAATTTGAAGGAAAAGTATTTAACAGATTATAACAGCATATAACTGACTGCCAGCTACATTGTATTGATTATGTGTAGCCCAAAGCCACTGAAGAAGTAGAGAAAGAGGAAGGGTGATGACTGCAGCTTTCATTCATCACACTTGTTGTCAGCGGGGTGCCCTTCGTTAAAGCAAGCAAACACACTGCATAATCAGCTCAGTAATTCTCTGAGCGTAGAGATCTAAATCCCTGTTGGCATGCCGTATCACTCTCTCTGCTCACAAGAGTTGGCATGAGGGCAGAAGGATTACAGAAAAAAAGAGAACAGATGATGGATGAATGTACTGAAATTCTGACAGAAAATGCATTTGCAAGGTTTAACTGATGTGAGATGGCAACAGACGCATACTAAATAATAACAACATTTTAAAAAAATTATAATAACAATAATACTTTTTGTAGTTATATGTATAGTCCATTTAGTGGCTATGTATATGAAAAGAGTAGTTTGTCTGAATTCACAGTATTCATTAAATGGGAGGCAAAAAGTACCCGGATGACTTACTACTTCCTGCGAGATACTGAAATGTGCGTCCATGAGGCCAGGGGAGAGGGTTTGTGAATGGCAGTGAAGCGACACAACTGACGATGGTAGCTTACATGACAATGACAAATGACGAATGTAGTACGTCTGGATTACATTCAAACTAAACTAATTCATACTATATAGAACATACTTTTTTAAGGGTTGAGAAGTAATTACTTACTCAAAAGAATTTTCAGACCTTTTGACACAGCCCGTGTCTAGGAAGGCTGAGCAAAATTTCAATTTCTCCAGAGCTTCTTTACTCAACAACAACTCAAAATTAAGATTAGGGGTGCGCCGATCCGATATTCAGTATCGCTCTGCTACTGGCATTTTCTGCCGGCTCGGGTATCGGTCAGACGAGACCGATCCAAATCCGATATTCTGCGTATACTATTCTATATTATTGTTAAGCCCCACGAAAGCCACAAAAACATCATAAAGCACCATAAAGTTTTCGTGCACTATATTCCAAGTGTTCTGAAGCCGTTCCACAGTTTAATGTGAAGTATAGATGAATATTTAAGTCAAGTTGATATAAACTCTTCTCTCCGCTGCGGCTGTGTGTCATCCTCCATTCAGCATTCAAACTGTGTGTCGCGTTCGGTTACAACAGTCAAGACGATGAAACTCTCCAAGATGATTTAATGTTCCTAATATTATACTTGATCTGTAAATATAGATAAATGGTTTTGCATAAAAGGACTTTATCTAGCTTGTTTCTAAATCATGTTCTACCATGTTAGATCACAACACTAGGAGTAGAGAGCACTATGAATTGTTCTTCACGAGCACAGAAACTGAGATCTAAAACTGTTAAAAGAAAAGGCTCAATAAACTATCGCACAGATTTAATAAACTATGCATGTCTCTTCCCTTTGTGCTTTGAACTTTCTATGCGGAGCACTGTGACTTTTTTCGTATTGCTTCAAGCACATCATTCTGTGCACGGGATGTGCATAAGCTCTTTGTGCCACTCTGTATTGGAAACTTTCGTATGATAATACTTTTGCACAATGACAGATTATCAATAGCCTTTCTTGTTCTTCTTATCTATCATATGTTGCTGCCTCATTACTGTGCTATACATTTAAAAGAAATGTCTTTTAATTTTATAGTAGGCCCTATATATTTATATATAAATATATTACTTTTTTCATGAATGTATTTTACAACCATACAAAGATCAATGTGCAACATTTTACCAGATTTAATCCAACACTTATTCACTTTTATTTGTTCCCTACTAAATAATGTTTTTTTTTTTACTAAAACTTTAGATTTGATAAAATCTTAATAACTTTTACTACTGAATTATCCACTAACCTAGTTTATAATAGTATTTTTGGTATCGGATCAGGATCGGTTCTGAAAAAGTGGTATCGAGCCACCCCTACTTAAGACTATTAAAATGTGTCACCAAAACTGCAATTGACAGTAGGACACCTTTTACAACCCTATTACATAAATGAGACTGCACAATTAAGCACATGTTGTGACCAGATTTGTTCATGGATAAGGCAGCAGTACCCCTGCAGATGGAGCCTAGGGCTGATCTTGGTCCAACAGAAGACACATCAAACACACTGTCAGGCTTTAGATCAGCTCCAGAAAACTGATCTGAAGCAGATGCCAAAGGGGTGTTACTGAAACTTCTGAAATGCTTCATGTAGGCCTGCTGTGGTCATAAGGCATAAGGATGCATGCAAATTTACAATTCCAGCATCTTTACAGAATCTGCTCCAGCCAGGCATAGTCACTTTTAAGTGATTGTAGTTATGTGAACCATGAGAGTTTTAAAAGGTTATGCCTATTAATTATTTAAAAAGTGCATGGCCCAAGTTGTCTATATGTTTTAATTTGCGCATTGTTTGGTGGAGAATATTGGGCATGTAAAATAACTGTTTTTTTCAACAGAAGAAATCAAATTTCTTTCTTTATTCCAGAGGGGGAATGGGACAGAAATGGCTAGAACAATGAAGGAACATTTTAGAAATCACTCACTGGCCCCCGAAGAGTTGCATGCCTAGCAGGGCAAACACCACAATGAAGAGGAAGAGGAGGAAGAGCAAGCTGATGATGGACTTCATGGAGTTCAACAGTGAAACCACAAGATTCCGCAAAGAGTTCCAATACCTACAGAGAGATGGAGAGAGAGAGAGAGAGTTAACTTTTATACAAAATATTTTTTTTAATTAATTTTTAAATGAATGAAAATATATACATATATATTTGGATATATATAGTTATGTGTAGTTATACTTAAAAATAAGATTAATATATTAATATAAATTAATAAATCATCAATATTGAAATAGGACTCATTAGTTTTAAATATTTGTGATAGACAACATGTAAAGATTTATTATAGGTATTATTAAACACTAGTTTCAGGAAGTACTTTATGTAAAATGGGGTTTGGTTCTGATGTATCAGCAATTACTGATCTTAAATATCAGTCCAATATCAGTTGCACTATATAGATATGTGATTGTTTTGGCCCTACCGTAAAGCAGGTGCGCATGCATCTACTTACTTGGTAACTTTAAAGATACGGAGCAGGCGCAGGGCTCTCAGAACACTGATCCCAAAAGACGCGCCAGGCTGGATCGCTGCCCATACCACTTCAAATATACTTCCCACAATTACCTGAGAAATCAAGAATCATCAAGAATCTCTCAGTTATAAGAGTTCATTTGATGTAGCCAGACGGCCTATTTATTAAAATATTAGCCAGATAAAAATATCAAAATCATAAAAAGTAACTAGAAAACATAAAATATATCTGGAAAATGACAGTTGGAGTGAATGTGAGTAAGCAGGCTAAACCACAACTCATGAACGGCCCTGTGGCGATTCAGTGTACACACAAGTATCACAGTGGCTGATAATGACTGACTGGATGCAGCCGCACAGGGTCGTTTGAATCATGTGTGCTGTGTAGGGCTGCACGATAAATCGCATTCAATGTGAAAGCCCGCAGGTGATGGGAGATTTACCGCTGATTACAGAACCGGCTTTACTGATAAGATGCGTGTTAAATATCGCATGCGATTTATCGTGCAGCCCTAGTGCTGTGACTCACCCCAAAGTCAAAACAGTTGAATGAGGAGTGAAAGTAGTTTCTGGGCCCCAGGCCATACATCTTTAGAGTCATCTCTGTCAGAAATAGACCCAGGAAAACAAACTCTGCCAGGTCTAACAGCCCGAAGAAATGAAGAGAGATAAGGTTTTCTGTCAACACCCAAGCTTTTCTACACAAACCTTCAAAACTAATGCTCTTACAAGGTAGAGCTTGGCAGCACAGTTAAAAGAAACAATATATCAATATTTTATAGTCTTTTGAAAACCTTCAATATAAACTTTTAATATTAAATATTTTGTATGTACATTAAATATTGAATAAATTAAATATAATATTTATTCAAATGTATTTTATTTATTATTAAAATGACTAAAACTGAAAATAAATAATTTAAACTAAACAAAGTAAAAAATAAATAAATAAAAATAGCATAAATACATAACAAAATTAATAAAACTTTTTTTGAGTGATGCTGCAAACAGATCACTGAATCACAGCTTTGAATTAATTCACTGAAATTACCGTTTAAACTGCTTCACAGAAATTAATCAAATTTATCAAGACATTTTTTGCTTGAGAAACTGAAATGAGATGCTATTAACGTAAAATATGCTATTAAAATGTCTTAAATATTTTATGTTCACGGGTTATGAACCAAGGAGAGATTGCTAAACAAGTCCAATCACATGCCCTTTAAGAAACTAAATAGCCAAATAATCAGTGTATTTTGACATACCATATAAATAAATGGTGTATTTGCTAATGAACAAA